TCCTCCTCCTCCTCCTCCTCCTCCTCGTGGCGAGGAGGGGGGCGTGGCGAGGGGCCCGGCGAGGGGGGCGGCGCTGCGACGCAGCCAAGGGGGCGCGGCTCTCTTGCAGCAGGCTCGGGGCCTCCGCGCGCCCCCCACCCCTTCTGAGGCCCTGCCAGGCCCCGTGGCTCGCCGCCGTCGAGCTCGGGAGGAGGCGGAGCCTCTGGGGGAACGAAAGGGGGGGCCGAGAGTCGCAGGCCGAGACGGCGCACCATGGGGGCCAGGGGCGAGGATCCTGGGGGGGGGAGAGAGCAGGAGGTAGCGAAGGGTGGGGCAGAGACTCGGCTCACGCAGCTGGTCTTCCTGGCGCCGCCTGGCGCCCCGGGAGGCGCCCGTGTGCAGAGGGCTGGGGCTGGCGGCGGGGCGGAAGCTAGCTGCACGCAGCATATTTCGTACCCCCCCTCGCCTTTCCTTATCCTACCCTTAGATCGGGCATGCCTCCCTGCGGGCGGATATTGGACTATTATTCCAAACGTATGGTTAAACATACTAGACACTACCCAACAAATTACTCACTGCGTGGAGCTCCCCATATGTGAATCTATTCGCATGGACCTGTCCGCCGTGTGTCTAGGCGCAAAAGTTTTCGAATATAAGCGGGCTTGAGTTGTGACGGTCTGGTCATGAATCTAACTGCGAATGACTTGGAGCGTGAATGAGCCTCAGTAGTACGAGCGCGTCTCTGCGCATGAGCCTGGGGCCCCCTTGGGCCTTCTGAAACCTACTGGGGCTTCCTGGGGCCTCCAGGAGCCTCTTGGGGCCTCCTGGGGCCTCCTGGGACCTCCCAGGGGGGATTCGTGCCCCAGGAGAGGAACAAACGTACATAAAACATTACGGATTGGAGCCGCAGGAGAATGGCAATCTATAGGAACACACGTAAAACACCAAGGACTCGTGCCCCAGGAGAGGCCCAACATCTAGGAACATGAATAAAGCATGTAGGATTGTGTGCACAGGAGAAGGACAATCTATAGAACCATACGTATAACATCAAGGATTCGTGCTCCAGGTGAGGCCCAATATATAGGAGCATACGTAAAACACATAGGATTGGAACCACTCCTGTTGCCTTCTGAGGCCTCCTGCTCCTGGGGCCTCTCGGGGCCTCCTATTGCCTTCCGAGGCCTCCTGGCGCTTCCTGTGGCCTCCTGTGGCTTCCTGATGTCTCCTGGAGCTTCCTGGGGCATCCTGGAGCCTCTTGGGACATCCTGTGGCCTCGTGAGTCTTTCTGTGGCCTCCTGATGCCTCCTGGAACCGCATGTGGCCTCATGGGGCCTGTTGGAGCCTCCTGTGGCATCCTGAGTAGAATATGTGCCCACGAGGGCCACCCAAACAAGCAAACCGATCGAGACATCCTCAACATCTGGCCCACATGGGGTGTGCAAATGAACGCCTCGCTCGAGACATCCTCCAAATCTGCTCTCCAGACGAAGGATGTTGGGACAGAAAACAAACAAACCGATTGAGACATCCCCACACAACGGCCGCGAACGGGACCGTGCAACACCTCTCGGCGGTTCCCCTTAGGGGTGCTGAAACCAGCGCCTCGCTCAAGACATCCTCCAAATCTGCTCTCCAAGCGAAGGATGTTGGGACAGACACCAAACAAACCGCTTGAGGCATCCCCACAACACGGCCGCGAACGGGACCGTGCAACACCCCTCGGCGGCTCCCCTTAGGGGTGCTGAAACCAGCGCTTCGCTGGAAACATCCTCCTAATCTGCTCTCCAAGCGAAAGATGCTGGGGCAGAAGACAAGCAAACCGCTTGAGGCATCCCCACAACACGGCCGCGAACGGGACCGTACAATACCCCTCGGCGGCTCCCCTTCGGGGTGGTGAAGCCAGCGCCTCGCTCGAGACATCCTCCAAATCTGCTCTCCAAGCGAATGATGCTGGGACAGAAAACGATCAAACCGCTTGAGGCATCCCCACAACACGGCCGCGAACGGGACCGTGCAACACCCCTCGGCGGCTCCCCCTAGGGGTGCTGAAATCAGCGCCCCGCCTGAGACATCCTCACAATCTGCTGTGTGTTGAGTAAATCAGACAATGAGAAGGTCTGAATCTGAATTAGTCTGGGTGCGAGTGAGCCTCAGCATGAGTAAGTCTGGGTATGAGTACGTCTGAGTATGAGTAGGTCTGCGTATGAGTAAGTCCATCTGATCAGGTCTGAGTATGAGTAAGTCTGTGTATGAATGAGTCTAGTTATGAGGATGAGGAGGAGGAGAAGAAGAGGAAGGAGCAGGAGGCGTTCAAGTAACAACAACAACCCAAAGTTGTGCGATGGGGAAGAAGAGGAAGGAGAAGGAGGAGTAGGAGGCGTCCACGTAGTAACAAGAACCCCATCTTAGGATAGTGGGACTAATTCATGCAAGGTCACACAGTATTCGCCACATCTTTAAAGCAGATAGTGCAAAACATCGTTCCCTGCCTGTTTTTGGATTATTCTTGGATATGCCTCCTGTAGAGGGACACGCCCGACTTACTCCTACCCTGTCGCCCCAGCCCGAGAGGCGCGAGGCGGGGGCGCGGCCTTCCGAGAGAGAGACCCCCCGCCTCTCTTGGGAGGCTCGGGGCGCACAGCGGGCAGGCCAGTCCACGGGAAACTCTCCACGAGAAACCCAATCCTGAGGTGAGACGCGCAGGGACATACTAATACTAGATGTCCGCCTTGGAGGCGCGCGTCCGACCCGAACATATACTATACCATCTTGTAGTATATCGTTTCCCGAGCGGTGTGGCCAGAAAGCGCCCGCCACGACGCGTGTACTAGAAGATTTCTCGGTGCGCGCGTCGCCCCTGGGGGGCGACGCACACATAGTAGAAGTACGTTGGCGTGACGCCGATGAGACCCCAGGACGCCCATGGACTTTGGGCGTGGGAGCGTCGCGCCCTCCGTCGACAAGCCACCGAGGCCCACGACACAACCCGGGGCACCCTGGAGGCAGGCGGGGCCGTTCTTGGCAGGGGCCCCCACTGCATGGCTCCCGAGGGTGAGCGCCAAGAGACCTCCCGAGAGGCCCCGTGCCCGCGCCCGCTCACACCCGCTGTGCGCCAACAGACCACCCCAGCGCCACCGGGCCAGCCCGTCTCCGACCACCACGTCTTGCGTGCGCCGTCCCCGCCCCCACCTCCTCCTCCCTCTCCCCCCCCCTTCTCCTTCCCCTCCCCCCCTCACCCCCTCCTCCTCCTTCCCCCTTCCTCCCCCTCCTCCCCTCCTCCTCTCCTTCCCCCTCCTCCCCCTCCTCCCCCTCCTCCTCCTCCTCCTCCTCCTCCTCCTCCTCTTCCTCCTCCTCCTCCTCCTCCTCCTCCTCCTCCTCATCCTCCTCCTCCCCCCCGCCATCGCGTCCGTCCCGCCCCACCCGCCCCACCAGTGGGGCTGTCCGTTCGCACCGCGTCGCACTTCTGCACGAGGCAGCGCACTCGCTCTCCAAAGAGGAAGGTCACAGTCCACGGCGAGTCGCGGCGCTCCACAGAAGGCGGCGTCGTGAGAGAACAGAGTGTCACTTACGCGCCTTCCGATCGCAGCAACGGGCGCTGATCAATCGTAACAACAGTGGGGGTGAGAACGAAGAGATGGCAATTCCCCCGCCGACGCGGCGGGCGATATTTCGGTATGGAGGCAGCTGGGGGCCCAGGTCATGGAGCGAGTGAGGGCGTCGTAGCACTCAAATCAATGAGTTCCCAAAGGGGGAATCGCCGAAACGATCTCGTTAGCACCGACAACTGAATAAGTCAGGTAATCCACGCCCATCGGAACCCTATCAGAATATGATTGGGATCTTACTGGATTCATGGTGCAATCCTCTCGGGTTTTCTTGGAATCCGATTGGGGTCTTGTAGGGATCATATTAGGACCTTGGCGGGATCCCGCACCGAGGGGTCCAGGGGCAGGACATCACTCCCAAGCGGCGAGACTCGAAACATATTCGCTGAAAAAGGGGGAGCCGATAACTACTTGGGCTTCAAGGTGAACCAAAGCCTCGACATGTGAATCTCCGGGTTTGGGTTTGCCAGCCAGCGCCCCCGATCTGACCCTGGACCTCGATCGGCGAAGATGCGTGATCAGCCCAGGGTCCCAGCCCTGGGCTCAAGACCAGCATTGACTCCATGACTGGCACACTCCTCCCCCTCACCCTCCTCCTCCTCCTCCTCCTTCTCCTCCTCCTCCTCCTCCTCCTCCTCCTCCTTTTCCCCTTTCGTCCTTTCCTTTCCCACTCCTCACACCTCCTCCTCCTCTCCTCCTCCCTCACTCCCTCCTCCTCCTCCTCCCCCTCCTCCCCCTCCTCCTCCTCCTCCTCCTCCTCCTCCTCCTCCTCCTCCTCCTCCTCCTCCTCCTGCGCCGTGCCAGAGCCCACCGACACGGGCCACGCGCGAGCCCCCTGCGAGCCCCCTTGTGAGCCCGCGGGTGCCGCCCCGGAAGCAGTGACGCCACGGACGGTGCTGCTTTGCCAAGACAAGAGGGGCCCTGGGAGACACAAGTGAATACACACAGATCCCAAGATTCCTTGTCTTTTGTATTTTCTGGGTTTCCGTATTCGCCCCACTTCCCATAACTTCCCATACTTTCCGGGGGAATCGACGATTACCTGTGTCTGTGTGTTTTTTCCCCTCCTGGCAAGATTAGCGCAGGGTTCATGACAGCTGGGCCACGATGTACTGGAAGACCCCCTCCATGCGATCTGCAGGACGCCCTTCCCCGTCGGCGCCCGGTGCTGGCAGCTCGGTGTTAGAGCACAGGCTGGCATCAAGGCGGAACCCGGCTGCCTGCAGCTCCCCTGGCAGTATGTTCTCCTGCGGGCGAGACTTGTCTTTGCCCCACCATCGCCTGAATGGCTCCACGACTAGCAGCCTTGCCTCGGCGCTGGGCCTCAGGACGCGCCGAGCCTCGCCCAGCGTCGCGCGGTAGTCGGTGCCCCAGAGCGCCCGGCAGAGCACGGCCACGTCGAAGCGGCCGGCCCAGTTGGCGGGCAGCTCACCAATGTTGTGCACCTCGACGCCGGGCGCCAGGGGCGCGGCATCCACCGACGTCACGGCCGGCGCTCGCCCCGCGGGCCATGGCAGCGCGGCCAGCTCTGTCGCCAAGGTGGCCCTGCCGCACCCGAGGTCCACCACGCGCCACGGCCTGGGCGCTGCGGGGGCGGCTGGGTGCACGCGGAGAGCCTCGTGGAGCAGCTGGGCCGCCTGCGGCACGATCGGGTCCTCCTCGTCCATGATCGACTCGAGGGCAGCCTGCTCGTAGTAGGCAGGGAGGATGTCGGGATCGTCGGCGGCAAGCTCGAAGAAGTCCCCGCTGCTGAGGCATTTGAACTTGGCGTGCCACGTGGCGACGCAGGTCGGGTAACTCTGGCTCTTCGGCTCGGGGAAGCAGCGCCTGTCTGCCTCCACCCGCCTTGAGCGCGACCGAGTATCTGCTTGGGCCTTCTCCCGCATCGACTGCTCCCATCGGCGTTCGCGCTCCACCTCCTGCGCGCTCTTGGCGCGCTTCTCGCTTAGGCGCCTCTGCCTTAGCAGGTAAGCCGCGGAGACGTGGGGCCCTGCGGCTGCCTTCTGGCTTTGCGGCCCTGCCCTCTGCCGGGGCGCAGGGGCTCTCGCTGCCGCGCGGGCCACCCGGCTCGCCCGGGCGGGCCTCGCGCAGCACCGGCGCACGGCGCAAGCGGCCATGCCGCCGAGGGCAGGCAACGCCAACCCAGCGCCGCAGCTGGGCGGCGCCGCAGCGCCCGCGCCGCGACGGCCACCTGCGTGCGGTGCGGCTCGGGCGGTGCTGCAGCAGCGAGCCAGGAGGCAGGCCGGCCCAAGGGGCGATGCGACGTCGGCGGCCGCTGCTGCAGGCGGCATGTGAGCGCGAGGGCAGAGGGCGGCAATGGCAAGGTCGGAGAGGCTGGGCGGAGGCGGAGGGCGGGCGAGGGCCAAGATGGAGGCAGGGCAAGGACAGCGCCCCGTCCGCCTGGAGCCAAGTGCTACGGACAACAAACATCAGCTTAATACGGTTCGCTCTTCACTGCTGACCTTAGTGGGCCCTGGAAACGACAGGGCAGATTTTTGTTACCGGTTCCATTGTGCCGTTTTCTTGCCGGTTCCGACGCCGTTTTTTTACCGGTTCCGTCACCGTTTTTTTACCGGTTCCGGCTCCGCGGCTCAAATCCTGGAGCCGTTTTCTTGCCGTTTCTGGTCGCCGTTTTTTTGCTGTTTCCATTTTCAAGAGACACTTTCTCGGAAACGGTGAAAAAAACGGCCCTGCCGTTTCCGGGGCCCACTAAGCTGCTGACGTGCCGTTCAACATATATGATCCATGGTTACACATCCCCCATTGTGTATGGGATCGAGCCCACCTCCCGCTGGATGGGTGCGCCCGTGAGCCTCGCGAAGACCTCGCGATTGGGATCGCTCCCCCCCCTGTGGTCGTGGCCCTGTGGGCGTGGCGTGGTGGAGGGTGCCGGTGCTCCCTCCCTGCCCCTCTGGGTGTGGGGTGGCTCGTCGTGGTGGTCGTGGTCGTGGTCGTGGCCGTGGTCGTGGTCGTGGTGGTGGTCGTGGTCGTGGTCGTGGTCGTGATCGTGGTCGTCGTGGTCGTGGTCGTGGTCGTGGTCGCCGCCGCCGTCGTCGTCGTCGTCGTCGTCGTCGTCGTCGTCGTCGGCGTCGTCGGCGTCGGCGTCGGATTCGGCGTCGGCGTTGGCGTCGGCGGCGTTTGCGTCGGCGTCGGCATCGGCGTCGGCGTCGTCGTCGTCGGCGGCGTTGTCGTCGTCGGTGTCGTCGTCGGCGTCGGCGTCGGCGTCGACGTCGGCGTCGGGGTCGTCGTCGTTGTCGTACGCTGGGTGGGTCAGCCGAGGTTCGCCTGGTGCCCGCCCGTGGGTGGCTCAGTCGAGGTTTCGACTGGTTTCGACCCGCCCGTGTGCCCTCGTGGGCGTTTCGTGCGCTGGGCGGCCCCATAGCTGGCGCCAGTTAACCTTCATAAAATGTATTTTCCTTCCCACAAGAATGCGGTACCCCGTTCCGTCGGGTAATTTACACATGGTCCTGCCCGAAATATGAACTCGTACCATCCCAGGCACGCAAGTATCGCCCTGGCCCCTTTGTCCCGAATTGTGCTATGCGCGCGCGTTCGTTTATCGATAACCCGAGGTTTTCAATAATCCCCTGCACAAAAAAAACAAAAAAAAAAAAGTGCAAACGCGCGCGTCGTCGCGCGCGCATGCCGAAATCGCTCAATAACCTTTAGGTTTCGTAAGATTTCAGAATCGACTGTCCTGGAAACATGTTTAAAGCATGCGCTCGAAACACGAATTTTCAAAAACAGCTTGGGCCCTTGTGAAGCCAGAGAAAGACATTCGTTCGATCACAAATTCTATACTTGCTACCAACCGGGCCTGTCGCTCGCGCGTATCGGAATCGCTCGAACGCCTTTGCGCGCGTGCTGTCGCAAGAGTCCTTTAGCAGAAAACGGGGCGAAGTGCATACGCGCGCGTCGTCGCGAGCGCATGCCGCAATCCTTCAACAACTTTGCGTTTTGTGTGGGTTTCAAAATCGAGTGCCCCGAAAACATATAAGCACACATCGTGTTGGAACATCAGTTTTCCAGCGCTCGCGCTCCTGGCAATCTTTGAAAGCACCATAGGTCTTGTAACATGCTCATTCGATTCTGCCAGACGGGCCCCTCGCACCGCACGTCGAAATCATTCGAACGCCCTTGCGCGCGTGCTGGGGGGGGGGGGGCACGATCCGTCTGAAATAACACCATGCAGGTCACTCTCGCGCGTCGGCCGCGAGCGCCTGTCGAACTCCTTCCAAAACCTTCACTGGATTCACCACCGACGCGAGGACGCTGTCATCGTCATTGGCGTGATCAGCATCGGCACCGCCACTGGCCTTGCCGTCGTCGTTGCCACTTTCGGCACCAGCATCGCTACCATCAGCATCGCGTCCGACGTTGTCGACATCACCATGATACCGCGCCCGCCCAAGACGCCGACTCGCACTGAAGTGCCCGCTGGGAAGTGCCCAGCGGTCAGCGCCACCGCGGCCGCGTCGGTCGCGCCAAACTAGCCGGCCGCTGCGCGCGAGAGCATGCGTTGGCTAGAGCGGCCGCAAAGATGCACCAACCAGCTCCAAGCACTCATCGCAATCGCCGCCGCATGGGTGTTGCAAATCAAGTTGCGGGTGGGTAGGTGGGATGATTGCGCGAACAGTGGAACGGACAATTCAATGCGAGCAGGAATGCCGTTGCACCCAGCTTACATGTGCACGGCATAGCTGAGACCACGTAGCTTGCACGACATAGCTTGCGCATCATAGCTTGCACCACATGTCTTGCAGCACATGTGTTGCAACATGTTGCTTAAACCATGTGGCTTGCCTTTCACAACTTCCATCCACAATGTACTAATGTACCGTTTGAGGCCCACTCTGGTAACCATGTGTTTCATTGTTATGCCAGCTCCTGGGTACACCCCGACAGGGTAAAACAAGCGTGCCAGGCGGGCCCATCCTACTGGGCGGGTCGGGCGGGCGGACCCTAACGGGCGGGACATTCGAGCGGTCGGGCAGTCTTCAAGACAAGGAAGCGGGCGGACCTTACCAGGCGGGTCGGGCGCGTGGGACGTCGAAGCGGGCTGGTCGGGGCCAGGCGGGCGGACCCTGACGCGCGGGTCGGGCAGGCGGACCCTGGGTGGGTTAGGCGGTCGGAACAATCAAGATGGCGTCAAGCATGTTCCAGGCGAGAGCATGATTCCTCATTTGCGGGAGCGCGATGCCGACACAAACTGACAGGATGTTCCGGGCGCACTTCTTTACATTGCGAGGAAGTCCCAGGCGAGAGAGCAATTCGCCAACACATTCAAAGCATGTCCCAGACGAGGGCTCGAGTTCTGAAATGCGAACCCGCGATATCACAGTAAATGAAAGACGTCAATAGCGAACGCTCGATTCTTGCGTAAGCTGCACGGCGGGACGACCGGGCAAGCGGGAAAGACGTGCATCGGGGCGTCAGAATGCATATTGGGGTCCGCAAGCCCAGGACGAACTCGAACAGTTCTACGAGCACGCAGCGCCATAGGGGCAAGGGCCAGGAGAGCGGTGGCACAAGCACACACAAATGCGCACACACAAACGCACACACACACACACACTCACAAACGCACACACAAACACACACGTACGCACACACGCACGCACGCACGCACGCACACACGCACGAACACACACACAAACGCACACACACACACACACACGTGCGAACGTATACACAAGACGCACACACACGTGTACACACACGAACATACACACGAGCACACACACATGAACACAACACTAACACACAAGCGCATACTCCAGAACCATGTCAAGCTTGTACACACATGCGTTTCCATAGCTACGCGCAATGAACGACAGTGTTCGGGTTGCAGCTTCGAAGGCAGCCTGCGAACGCAGCCACGATAGAGCAGGCGCATCCAGTTCCCCTTTCCCTGAAGGAGCAGCGGGGGCCCGCCCCCAACGTGCTGTGCATCGCGTGCCGGAAGACCTCCACCTTCTGAAGGATGTTCAGGTCCTCATTTTTGAAAGCGAAGCCGCAGCCCCTGCGTCTCTCCCACCTCATTATCCCCCGCTGTCCATCTCTTGTTTTGTATAGTATAGATTGGGTTGTTGTGCTTTTGTTATCTCTCCCTCTCTCTCTCTCTGCCTATCCCCCTCCTCCTCGCAACTGCCGTCCTCCTCATCCTCATCCCCTCTTTCCTCAGGGATTGAATGCTACTAGCCAGTTCTGTGTCCCTCGGGCTTTGGCAGCTTCAAGGAGGGGCAAAAGAGGCAGGGGCATGGGGGGGAGGAATAAGGCCCCCCCCCGTTCTACCCTCGAGGCCGCTACAGCAGCCACAACACACTTATACCTAGCCGCGAGGTTGTCTCTGTAGCAATCGGTCCCCAATGAAGAGGAGGATGAGGATGAGGAGGAGGAGGACGACGACGACGACGAGGAGGGGGTGGAGGAAGGGAGGGGGAGGGGGAGGAGGAGGAGGAGGAGGAGGAGGAGGAGGAGGAGGAGGAGGAGGAGGAGGAGGGGAGGAGGGTGGGGAGGGGGAGGGGGATGAGGAGGCGGCGAGGGAAGGGTTGGAGGAGGAGGCATGGAGAGGAGGAGAGGGGGGATGGGAAGGAAGAGAAGGAGAGGAGGAGGAAGAGGAGGGGGAGGACGAGGAGGAGGAGGAGGAGGAGGAGGAGGAGGAGGAGGAGGAGGAGCAGGAGGAGGAGGAGGAATGTGAGGGGGGGAGGAGAGCGAGGAGGACAAGGAAGACGAGGAGAGCACGGGGATGAAGAGGGGGACCGGGGCGCTGCCAGTGGCGAGCGCCCCGATCCCCTCTTCCCCGCGTGCTCCCTCGTCGTCCCGCTCCCCCCTCCCTGGGGGCCTCTTGGGCCGTCCTGGGGCCCTCTCGAGTCATCTTGGGGCCCCCAATGAAGGCCTCTGGCGCCCCCTTGGGAACTCTTGGGGGCCTCTTGGGCCTTCTCGGGGCAGTCTGGGGCGCCTCTTCTGCCGTCTTGGAGCCTCCGCCTCCTGGATCCCTGACCGTATCCTCCCCCTCCTTGCCGTGGCTCCCCCTCCTCGCGCTCCGCTCCGTCTCCTCCGCGCTAACCCCTCCCGTCCCCATCATCATCATCATCATCATCATCATCATCATCATCATCATCATCATCATCATCATCATCATCATCATCATCATCATCATCATCATCAGCAGCAGCAGCAGCAGCATCATCATCAGCAGCAGCAGCATCCTCATACATCAGCATCAGCATCAGCATATCAGCGCGCATCAGCATCAGCATCAGCATCATCATCATTCTCATCATCATCCTCATCCTCATCTCATCCTCATCCTCATCCTCATCCTCATCCTCATCCTCATCCTCATCCTCATCCTCATCATCATCATCATCATCATCATCATCATCATCATCATCATCAAGGCCCCCGCCGTCTTGGGAGGCCGCCCCCCTCGCGACGCCAACTGGCGCGCGCCGCCAAGCGGCGGGCGCGGGCCCCCATCGCTCTCCCCCTCCTCCTCGCCCTCGTCCTCGTACTCCTACTCCCCCTCCTCCTCCTCCTCCTCCTTCCCCTCCTCCTCCTCCCTCCTCCTCCTCCCTCCTCCTCCTCCTCCTCCTCCTCCTCCTCTCCCCCTCTCCCCTCCTCCTCTCCTCCTCCTCCTCCTCCTCCTCCCCTCCTCCTCCTCCTCGCTCCTCCTCCTCCTCCTCCTCCGCGCCCTCGTCTTCGACACATCCTCCTCATCGTCCTCCCCCTCATTCTCCTCCTCATCCTCCTCCTCCTTCCCCTCCTCTCCCTGCCTTCTCGTCCTCCTCCTCGATCCTCGTCCCTACGCTCCTCCTAATCCTCCCCCTCTCCTCCTCCTCCTCCTCATCCTCCTCCTCCACGCTCTCCTCCTCCTCCTCGTCCTCGTCCTCATCCTACTCATCCTCCTTCTCCTCTTCCTCTTCCTCCTCCTCCTCGTCCTTGCCCTCCTCCCCCTCCTCGTCCTCGTCCTCCTCGTCCTTCTCCTCGTCCTCGTCCTCCTCCTCCTCCTCCTCCTCCTCCTCCTTCTTCTCTTCCTCCTCCTCCTCCTCCTCGAAAAAATGCCTGTGGCGAGTGCTAAGACGAGGCCAGGACGAGGATACATTCGGGTGAGGAAAAATCAAACATTTCTGAGATCTGGCGGCTCTGGAAGACGGCTCGGGCGCCGCGGCCCTCAGAGCGTTCCTGAACGCTCTGAGAGCGTTCCACAGCGCCCTGGAACGGATTTGTCATCGTCCTGGCCCTGTCCCACTCCCCCCCCTCCTCCTCGAAAACATACCTGTGGCGAGTGCCCTGTCGGCGACCAGAGAAGATGGCACTCGGGGCTGGCAACACCGTGGCGGGGAACCCGTGCTGACCAGACGCTCGTGGAGCAAAAAGAAGGCGAGCCATTCCACGACCCGAGCGCATCAGCAAAGACCGCGCAAGAGCACTGGCATGGGGCAGACGTGAGACTCGAGTTTGGGGGGTTCGAACTAGCGCGAGCTCCCGTTGCAAGCAACTCACGAAAACTGGAACGTCAAAATTCTCGCCGGGACCTTCTAAAATCAGCGGCAAGCCCCTACTCCAGCAAGCTCGAGTCTGACGACCCCGGATGGTAGGGGCCCGCCAGCTAGCCTCAGTGCGCCGTTGGTCGCGGAAACGTAATCAAGCGATTTCGCCACACCAGGGTGGCGGCGGTGATGACGCAGACGACTCGGGTCGGACGAAAGGGAGGGCTAGTGAAGGGCAGGTTACCGATCAGCAGACGCAGCTGGATTTCCTGGTACCTCCTGGCGCCAGAGGCGCCAAAGTATCGAGGAAAGCGCCTGGCGGCAGAGCCGAAACCAGCTGCATACAGCACATTTCCAAACCCGTGCCACCTCTTTCCCTGTCCCCCCTCTTCGTCCGAAATCGAACCACATACAAGAG